CTTCCTTCTATACATGTTTTAGTCTCATTTTGACATGTTCTAGGACTTTTTTGGGTTGTCTTGGCCATATGCTTCGTGTTTTGTATAGCTATAGTGCAAGTACCTCTGCTAGCTTCAAGCTTTGTGCCTTCTTGCATGCCATACTTGCGTTGTTTGAGTGGTTTGACACCATTCCATACATGATTTCAGAGCTTATAGTGTTGTCACACGTCCATGCTTTTCACTCTTTAAGTGCTCTTAAGAGTTGCATCTTTATGCCTTAATTCTTGAGTCAATTGGCATACATGTTTGTCTGGCCTTTTCATGCTCTTCATGCCATCATTTCAGCACTAATGGCCACTGTTTTGGACATGATTGAGGTCTGTCCATATCCAGTTTAAGTCCATCTTGCATGTTGTTTGCATTGCATGTTGTTTGCATGCTTGTTGTTTGCATGCTTAGGTTGCATTCAATAGAGTTTGTATGCCATTAGCTTTGATAAATTGCTCATATTGCATTGCATGATTTTTGCATGCTTGTTGCATTGCAATGTGTGTGCATGCCTTGCATTGCATTGCATTTTGTTTGGAAAGGGTGTCAATCCAAACACGGGAAACGAGGGACGTTTCATACTTGAAGTGATGAAACGTGCCTCAATTCTCGATCCCTGACCCTCTTAATCGTGCATGATAGAGGTTAAGGCATTTATGTGTTTTTGTGCATTCATTTGACATTGATTTCTGTAACTCGGCCTCTTTGGCCATCATGCATTGAGATGCGTGATTGGTGGCTCGAGAGTCGAGCATTACACTCGTTTCAGCTTTAGACATGATAAGGAGTGTGGTTGCACACACATTTTCTTGCAAATACACTGCCATGCCTCTATTAGTGCTCTGTTGTAGCAAAAGGAGAAGTTTACAGGAAAAAGTGGCCGATCGGCTATCAAGTGTGCCGATCGACTATCAAAATTGGCCGATAGCCTTGAAATTTGGCCGATGACTATTACGCATGGCCGATGGCCATTCCTCTTGGCCGACCACCTCTCAGTTTGTTCCTAAGGTGGGTCAGAAGCACTATGGAAGTTGGTATAATTTTCAGAGATACAAAAGTGTGCAAACAGAGGCATCACGAGGCACGGTAGTGGATTTTCGAACGAAGTCAACTGAGCATGCATATGCCCCTCTCCTCGAGGCTGTTTTAACTGCTTTGTGTAGTTAGTTAATTTGCTAATTAGTTAGTTAATGTATTTGCTAATTGATTCCATCTTTATAATATTATAATTAGCTTAGCATAGCTAGTTTTAATTTGGTTTGTACTTAATTAGCTTAGATTAGCTAGTCGATTCAAATTCAATTTGTGTTGTGTAATAATTGGTTTAATTAGCTTAGATTAGCTAGTTAGATTAATATTCAGACCCTCCGTCGAGAGGGCCAACTGTTGTAATAAGCGTGCGCGTGTGTATAGGGGGCAGCGCCCCTTGTCCGCTTGAGCGGCCATTTGCGCGCTCGAGCGGAGAATCTTTGGTTCCAAAAGTTTGAACTGTCTGCAAAAGTACTGGAAGTTGTGTTTTTGTGCTCGAGCGGAACTTCCTGCACTCGAGCGGCCATTCTTGCGCTCGAGCGGAGATCGTGGATTAATTTTCTATAAATATGTGGTTTTATCCGTTTTTAGGGTTACGACTTCCAGATCTTTTTCTTGGATATTAGGATTTATATCTGGAACTTCTTTGCAAGTTTCTTTGATGTTTGTTTGAGTTTAACTCGTGGCTTGAGAAGTATACATCAAAGAATTGTTTGTTTCATTCAATACAAAAGAGAGAGTTGTTCTTCGGTGGATTCCATGGAATTTGGGCCTGAAGCTTTGGTGAATTCTGGAGTGGCTCATCGTCGTGGGTTTGAAATCGGCGTTGTGGATTCAACGTTGTACAAGACAATTTCAAGGTGAAGACGAGGTTGGAAGAGGCACATAAGGGTCGGTTCGATACGGGCGTGGATTCACGGTAATTGAGAGTACACTTGTTTAATTCCTTTATGTCTTCTTAGTGGATTATTTTGTGATTTTTGCCCGTGGTTTTTTTTTTATCATAATTGGAGGCGCTCTAATTGTGATTTTTCCACATAAAATCGTTGTGTTGATTTGTTTTTGATTATTTGATTGGGATTGCTATTTACTGGTTTAAATTGATATATAATCACAAATCAATATCTAGGGGATTTCTAGATTTTTCAAAACAAACTAATCCCACATGGAAAAATATTTATGTAACACTTCAAAAATTAAAATACTGAAAACAAAATTTTAATTAATAAAAACTTAGAAATTATTTCTGAAAACCAAAATTAATTTTTGATCAACTTCACAAATGAATATTCTGAAATTGTTAATGACTACCAATATATTATTGAAGGTAGTAGTAATCAAGCTCAACAATCTGATTCCCAAGATGCACCACGTCACTCATTTTGGTGGGGTGAAGGTAGCAGCAACAATCAAGCTCAACAATCTGAATCCCAAGATGCACCACGTCACTCATTTTGGTGGTGACATTATGTAATTTTAGTAGTAACATTATGTAAAATGTACTCTCTATTATTTGTGATTTATGCTATGATGTTATGTACTTTGTCAAGTTCTTCCATTAAGAATGTATACTTTTTTAAAACTATTTGAGTTAAAATGTACATATGCTTCCACAAGTATAATAATTAAAAATAATTTTATACATCTAAGTCCAATAAAAGAAATTTTTACAAGTGTAACATGGATTTATAGCATATAAAGTCATTAATTATTGAAATAAAATGTAAAAAAAAATATTTTATAGTGATTTAAAAATATGAAATATATTGGATCATACTTAAAAATTATGAAAAAATTATGTAAAATTGTCCAAGATTAATTTATGATCAACTTCATAAATGAATATTCTAAAATTGTTGATGACAACCATTATATTATTACTAGTTGTGAAAGAAATTAAATAGTATATTATTACTATTTGTCAAACAGTATATTGCTACTATTTGTATTTTCCAACCAGAATATTATTTTGTATAAGCACAGAAAATAATTTCTGTAAGAAAAGAAAGGAAGAAAGTGAAACAAATGAAAAATTCTGTATAAACAGAATAATTCGGCTCAGTCTTAAGATTGTTGGAACAATCTTCTGTGTAAAATAAATAACTTGAAACCAAATCAAACAAATAAAACTAAATTACTTATAGAATTTATTTACCGAAACGAATAAGTACAAAATTGATCAAGTCGAGTGTGTAACACTCTGTCCTTAAGACAAATTCGCCCCGCTTCGGTACTTACGGATAAATGGCATCTATCTCCCAAGATATAATGATCTTACACAGATTGTAGTAGCACTCCAAACAATCTGTACGGCGAACTAGAACCTGTGTTCTATACTCTCAGAATTTTTCTCTAAAAGACTAATATGAAGAACAGCATAAACAGAGAGCAAAATCATGAAGAGAATTAATTTTCTAGATGTCCATACTACTAGAAAAAGGTGTAGTATTTATAGGCAGATTGGTGACCTTTAGGAAATGTCGAACATGTAAGATTTTAATTTGAAGAGGTGCAATTCAAACTTGAACAGATCTGCTGGAAAACCAGTTTGAATCTGTCCAAAGCTGCTGGGCAATTTTAAATATGTTTAGAACAGTTTAATTTGTTGAAAAATGAAAGGGAATTTCTGACTGGTGGAGGTACTTTTTGGACAGAAAATTAAATTCAAATTTGGTGGAAATTTTGAATTAATTTCTTTTCGAAAAAATAATTTTCTCGCAAGAATTTTTGGAAAAAATTCAAATAAATTTTGTCCAAAAAATTAATATTAGGACCAACTCGACCCACACTCGCGCCTGGCACGGCTCGTTGATTAGACGGACGGTGGCACGCGCGTGTGATGGTTTGAGCCAAAGCTTATTTTGTCCATAACTCCTCCATTCTACAAATTTGGGAGACCCCAAGTTTGTCCACCTAGAGCTTATTTACACACACAAGCTTTCTTAAAGTTTCAATGTGGGATAACCATTTTAAAGAAACTCACATTTTACTCTTTAATTGTCCTTTCCACGAACCCAAAAACGACGTCGACTTTCCATTCACTCATAAATGGTTTTGACGAACCGTCTTCACCGTGTAACTTGCCATGTGGCAAGGAATACGTCACCTCTTTGGACCCATCCCAAAAGACTTGTGGACCCCACTCAAATTTAGGTTCAAAGTTGGCCCAAAATAAGTTTATAAAAAACACCATAATTTCCAACATATACATGTATTTTTTTAGCCTTAAAACATTTGACAAACATGTAAAGATAGTTGTCAATATCCTTAAAACATTTGACAAATTGATATTTAATTTTTTCTTTTCGTGATTTAATTTAAAGGTAAAAAATAAAAATAAATAGTAACTCCATAACTTGATATAATAGACATTTTATGAGTGAATATCAGAGTTGATTTAGTCTTCAAGATCAAAGTTTTATTCCCATCAAATAGTATAAACTAGACATAAATAGTCAACAATACATGTATATATATATATATATTGAATTACTATGGTTTTCTGTATGATGATTCAATCATATAGATTCTTATTTTTTCAAAAAATAATAGCATTGGATATCACCAGCAAAGAAGCATGGGTACGAGTACGAGTATGGGTACGAGTGCGGGTACACCGATACGGCAAAACCCCAAAAAAGTATGATACGGGTACAGCTGCGGTACGCCGATTTTTTTTATATATAATTATGGTTAAAGGATCCAACCTACAAATTAAAATTAAACATCAAAACTAAAAAGAGAACTATAAAACTAAAAGACAAATATAAATATATTTCAATTCAACATAACCAACACCAAAGGAAAAACAATGCAAATTTAGTCCATAATCCAAGCAAAGGAAAAACAACCAAGACCAAAGGAAAAACAAGGCCAATTCAGTCCACAATGCAAGCAAAGGAAAAAACAAAAGAAAGCCCTATGTATCTAAACTTGATACTTCAAAGTTCACTTCCATCAACTTCATCATTGAATAAAATAGCTTCCATCTCTGGCTCATCAAGTGAAAGACTTGTAATTTCAAGGAAACCAGAACCCTCCAATGAATCAAATGCATCTCCCCCAATGTCCCATAACTTGGTCTCTCCTTCTGTGTATGGTTGACTCCTTCTTGATAATAGTCGAATATTGGAGTGCTCAAAAACCAAATCCTCGCACCGTTGTGGTGTCATTTTATTCCTCCTCATAGAGTAAATGAAAGAGTAGGTGCTCTAATTCCTTCTACAACATGATGAGGAACATGGTTGGCCAAGTAATTTCACTGCCAAGGATTGGAGCATAGGTGTAGAAGAGCCATGTGCCGACCACCAAACCACTGGTTCCATTACTTCTCTATCACATATTGAGTCAGAGTCACTAAAACTTTCTAAACAACCTGAAAACTTAGCATACTCTGTATTAGCAACCCTTCTCTCATCTGAATCAGGAAAGTATCTCTTAAAACACTTGATTCTCATCCCAGAAATTTCAACATCTTTGTGAGGAGGAACACGAATGGGATTTTCATGAAGCCACATCCCACTATAATACCTAGATTTCATAATTAGAAAAAAAATAAAAAATAAATTATGCAATGAAAAAAAATTAAAGTATAAACTACGAGTCTAATGTGAATTATACCTTGGATTCAAAGAATGAGCAAGACAATGAAGAGGTGTGCTACTTTTTGTCCACCTTTCCACTAATATTTGATGCACTACAAAGTAAAAGGACGACTCTTCATTTTCTGACTTCCCTTCACGCTTGTAGATAGATGCCTTCACCCGTTCAATCATTGAATCCCACATCTCATAAACCAAATGTAGACATGGCTTATCAGTGTCACAAATCTAAGCATCTCATAAATAGGTAATGTGAATAAGAGTATATATTCAATCTTATCCCACCAAACATCATTCAACAACTTTTCCTTTACAACAGCTGCTTTCCCAACATCATCTTCCTTGTAAGAAGCCCATTTCTCACTTATCACCATTGTTTGGAGACCATGATATATAAGTTTAAACCTTTTTAGCATAACAATTGCTGATTCTAAAGCATGTATCTATAACAGAAAGTAGCTTCAAAGGTACAAACTCATTAAAAATAGCTAATCTCATAGAATGATTCATGATGAAATTTTTCACAAACATTACATCATCAATCACAATAGTGATCCAATGGCATTCATCATAAGCATATGCAGCAACTCCAATTTCCTTCGCAACACAAATGTTCTTAAGAGCAAGATTAACAGTGTGCACTACACAAGGTGTCCAAAAGATCTTCGGATAATTACCTTGAATAATTGATCCAGCTACACTACAAACAGGAGCATTGTTAGTAATTACTTGAATTACATTATTAGGGCCCACTTCATCAATCACTTTACTAATTAATTTGGCAATATGATACTTGACCTTGGTCTCACCCATACAATTAACAGCTTTTATAAACATAGCTCCACCATTAGATGTTGCCATAAAATTAATAAAGAGGCCTCCTTTGTTTGGGATGTCAATTTAAACCTGGCCCGATGGGGACCCGATCCCTCGACCCCGATTGGAACGATTTTTTCCCGATCCCCGTATAGTTATTATAATATATATATATATTATATTATATGTTTAGGCCCTCTCTCTCACTCACATCACACACTTCTCTTAGCCTCTCTCCCTCTCTCTTTCTATTATATAGATCTTGTGATGAAGATCAGTGGCAGATAAGGTGTCTACAGAATCATTGCCGAATAAGGTGTCTACAGGTGACGACGACGTTCCCTCTGATGACGACGACGATGTCGTTCCACCGAATCAGACCCTCCTCCTCCTCCTCCGACGACGAGCGCCAACTCCTCTTCCTCCTCCTCCCCCTCCTCCTCCGACGACGAGGGCCACCTCCTTCTCCTCCGAGACCTCTGACGACGACGACGTTCCCTCTGCCACGCTAGATCTGAGCAGATGGATCTCTCTCTCTCTACTTAGATCTATCTCTCTCTACTCAGATTTGTATGTTGTTAATGTTGTTTGATGATATTGTTGTTGATGATGTTGATGTTGAGGATGTTATTGTTACTACTGTTTGTTTGTTTGTTTGTTTTTTTTTTTTTTTTTTGGATCTGGGGAATTTCGGGGTTCGGGAAACCCGATCCCCGTTAGGGGACGAGGATGGGGATGGTAACAGGTTCCCCGTCGGGGATCAGGGCCAAGGACGGGGACATTCTTACCATCAGGGATCGGGGATGGGGAGGGTGATCCCCGGCCCCGCCCCGCCTCGTTGCCATGCCTATCCTTTGTGCATCAGTCCATCCATCAAATACTATACTCAACCCCTTCTCATCCCATGACTTTTAGTTGGTTCCAATAACCTTTCAATATTTTCCCTTTCTTTTTAAAGTAAGGTAGTCCTCAACAAATTATATCCAGAGAGACATACTCAACAATTTGATTCTCAGCAGCATATTGAAAGGCATCCACAAAGTATGGATTCCTAGCCAAATAGAAAGGCAAACCAGCTGAATAGAACATATGAGCAATTAAAGAATGTAAATGTTCTCTGGCATTTTGATTGAATGCATTATCTAAAGAACTACTCCCAATTGCCTTTCTCTTTCTTAGTGCATAACCTTCCATTCTAAATGTTCCAACATCTCCTACACCGCCGTGGCTAGTACTAATTTGAGAAGATGGAGGTGGTAAAGGAACATTTTTTGGCTTTGCCATCTTTTTCTGATTCTCAACTTCTTGATCTACCTTTCAAATTTCAGAAAGAAGATCACTCTTGTTCTTCACAATTGCACACACTCTAATTCCATGGCCAGTAAGTAGCAACAAATGGGCTCTAACTTTAGAATATGACCCTTGGTACTCAATGTTACAAAAATTACACTTAAATTTTGTATTACCACTTCCTCATTCTCCCATTTTGACTAATTTTGTAACATAGCCCCAAAGAGGAGCATTTTCATCTCCAGATTGATCAATGGAAGGAGCAGAAACACTTGCAACAGATGAACCTAAACTGCTTGATGAACTCATTTTCCTATAAGCATAAAAAATAAGATTTGTGATTATTAACATTCTGTTGAGGAATAACTTTGTTCTAATTAAATTTTTTTATTATTAACATTTTGTAAGTATGATTGATTATTAATTTTTTTGTTCTAATTTATTATTTTTTTTGTTCTAATTTTTTTTTTTGGTTCTAAGTATGATTGAATAACTTGGTTCTACCTCTCTAATTTTTTTTTGGTTCTACCTCTCTGACCAGGTTCTACCTCTCTGAAGAAGAAACAAGAAACAAGAAAAAAAACAAAAATAAATAAATATGAAGACAAAGAGATGAAGAAACAAGGAGATGAAGAAAAAAATTCTGACCAGTTGCTTACTGTTTGCTGATATGCAGTGGTACCCAAAAATTTTGACTAGTTTCTCACCGGAGGGAAGACGAAGAGATGCAAGAAGGGACAAAACCAGTTGCTTGCTGATCTACAAAACAAAAAATATATGAGACGAAGAAGAAGAAACAAAGAAATGAAGAAGACGAGAGTAGAAGATGTAGACGAAGAAGACGAGAGTGGAAGATGTAGACGAAGAAGAAGAAGGCGAAGAAGAAGAAGAAAAAGATGAAGATGAAGAGCACTCACGGGAACTCTCCTTGCATCGCCGTCGCTAGAGGCCGTCAAAGGGAATGGATGGGTCGCCTCTTTGTTGCTAGGTCGCCTCTTTGCTGCTGTGTTGCTGAAGTGAAGAGATTAGGGCAAAACCTAGGTCATTCATGTATATTCCTTCTTCTTCTTTTTTTCTGAAATTTTTCTTAATATTGGTCCGGTGCCCCTCAATTCTCCTGGAATTTTGATTTCTACCTCGGCGTACCTGAAACGCACCAAAGGCATACCCATGTCGTACCCAAGCCATACCCAATTGAACCAAACGTACCGGACTCCCTTTTTCCATACCCGGTACGTGTGCAGCGGTACCAGTACGCATACCTGCACCCGGTAAGTACCCGGTACATGTACGACACTATTTTTGGAGTACCCATGCTTCATAGATCACCAGCTATGTAACTTTGTTGGGATGGTATTTCCGATATAGAAACCATCCAGTTTTACTTGCTAGAAACATAGCAAAGGCTCCTGGGGTTCTTTGCAATAATCTACCATATTTCTGATGAAAACATTAAAGCTTGTGTCCTTTGAATTCCCCTAAAATTGGCAGAAGAAAAGAGTAGTTTTTGTGAAATTTTCCCTAAAGCGCCAGTAGAACTCATGACCAAAGTTCAAGAAATGCACTCCAAGATCATCATCTTTCAATTGGCAATGAATCTTCAATGGGCCGGGAGTGTTTGGGACTTGACTGGTGATATGAACCTCAAAACGTCTCAAGGGTAGTAAGGGTTCAATTAGTCCTTAAATATTAGTCTCTAAAAGACTAATTTGTTGTAAAAGTAAAGGACTAAGATGAGAATTGGAAGAAGAGAATGGTTCGTCATCATATAATTTGAAAGAAGTGATTTTGAGTTGTTGCTTTGTGCCTATGCGTGTATGTGTATAAATGGTACTTGCATTTTGCATTTACAGTAAATATAATTAAGAGTTAATTACTTAAAAGTCTTTTTTACAAATGTTATGATAGCTCAGATTCTATTTTTAAAAAAAATTTTAAAACCAATAAATCTTACTTAGTAAAACTAAGAATATTATCAGTTTTTCTCAATTTTTAAAACTAAGAATATAATCAATTTTGCATAGTAATGTTTTAAATAATTATTTCACTAACTGATAGAAAAAAAGAGAGAGAGAAAAAAAAACCAAAGTATGAGATTAAAGGTTTTTAACCTTCTACTTGTTGGTTTGATTCAACTATCCAATAAAATCGAGTACATTATCAGTTTTTTCCAGTTTTAAAACTAAGAAAATTATCAAATTTTTCATTTTTGAAGGGTTTTTTTTTTGTTTTGTTTTGTTTTAGTTTTTTTAGTTTTAGTTTTGCACATTAATGTTTCATCATCATGCTCCTTTATAGACACAAAATTTTCGATTTTGCACAAAAAAATTATTTCAGTTTTTTCAATTTTTTCAAAAAAAAAATAAAAAAATTCAGCTTGTTTGGTTTTAATTTTTAGAAAATTCTACTTTTTTATTTACGTATTTTAATGTTTTCAATGATTTTTTTTTAATATTTTAAGTAACTTTTTTTTTAATATATATTTAGACACATCTAACATAAATACACTTAAAAAATATAATATTGGTGAAAAAAATATTTAATAAATTTAATAAATACCAAAAAAGACACACAAAAAAAAAACAAAAAAATCAGTATATTTTTCATATTTTTGTGTATTTATTAGTTTTTTACAAGTCTTTTTTCACAAATATTTTACTATTTAAATACATCTAAGTAAGGTGCATCTAAAAAAGTAAAAAAAAAATGCTTAAAATTGAAAAAATATTCACTAAAAATAAAAAAAATACAACAAACAAAATATTTAGTTTTCAGAAAACTAAAACTAAACACACTATTTAGTTTTTTTTTTTTTTTTTAGTTTTTACAATTTGAAAGTTGATGTTTTGAAGTTTTTAAAATCAAAATAAATGTCAAATCATCATGTTTATAGATAATCATAAATAATGAACAATCATTGTTTGAAGGACAATTCTGATTATTAAAAATTTAATGAGACTTGAATGTCCGAAAAATCTTAGTTAAAACTTAATGGAGTATAAGTTTATAAATTAGGACTTGTACGTGTAAATGCCCCTATAATTAATTATGAGCATTTAAATAAATTACGTATAAGTATCAACATTATAATGATTCTAAATCAAGCAAGCAATTGATTGACCATTTTGCAAGAATGGAAATCAGTTAGAAATGAAAAAATTATTCAATGCTCTTAGAACATCCCCAACAGTTTACTTAAATTTTACCTTAAAAAATTCATTTTCTATTTTAAGAATCACTTTTTCATTTACTTTCCCTATCAAACTCCCTATTCTTTCTCTATTACATTAAAACAATATTTTTAATTACTTTTAAATTTAAATATTTTTTTAATAATAAAATAATGAAAAGCCAACCAAACACCAGCAGCACAGCAGAAATAACATTTGTTTAAGCTTAGTTTTGATCTCATAAATAACATGATGATGGCGAGAAAGAGCGACCTACACTAGTGAAAGAGATTCTTCAGAGAGTCTTTGGTGCCCTGAGACTTCCCCTTCACGCCTTCAACGAAATAAAATAAGAATTTATCAGATATAAGGAAACTGCAGTGACTCCCTACAAATGGGGAGTCACTATAGCAAAAACTAGTTTAGGGAATTGTTTAGGGGAGTTGTTGGAGATGTTTAAAGTGATTTCAACCCCTAAAATATGTAAGGGGTTGGTTTAGGGGGATTGCTAGGGACACTCTTAGCCCCAATTTGACTAACAAAATTAATAGTAAAATGATTAATAATTTTATGAATTAGTGTAAA